AAGAAGGGGCGGAGGGGTTTGTCCAGTTTCCATTATGCTATCGGATGAGACACCCGCTGCTGCCAGCTTGTTGGTCTGAGGCAGGCGGGTTGCTAGCAGCCAGAATCAGAGCAGGCGTCTCCTGCCAGGCTTACACAGCAATAGCACGTCCCTGCTTCCTCGCCTCTCTGAGAGCCCCGTGCAGTAGGCAAAATGAGTTTGCAAGCCTGGGTGGTGATTTGTCATGAAGAGGAGTGAAGCAGTCACAATTCTCCTTTACCACTTTCCTTAGCTCTGTCAGTACGCGCTGACAAGTCCTGGATTTACGACTAAAGGAGTTTTCAGCTTGTCCTTGCTGTAATCTTATTTATTTATTTATTTATTTATTTATTTATTTATTTATTTCCCTGTCTTCCCCAGTCCTCCTGCATGATCCGCATACGCACATATTTTCTTTAGGCTCTGGATTGCCCGGTCTTTGCTGATACACATGGCCTGGCTGCAGCTCTCTACATGCAGGACACATAGGCTGGGAGGCACAGCGATGGAGACGAGGGCATGTGCAGTAATGCCCTGGTGCCTCTGCACATCTTCTCCAGCACAGGTGTGTCGGGGTCAGGATGAATCCTGACAGGCATGGTGAGAGGGTATGGGACAGAAAGACGTGAGGGATGTACATCCTATCCCACCTGTCTTTCTTCAAAGCCCAAGCCTTCTCAGTAAGCCCTCCATCCTGGTTGCACTTGAAGAAGAGAAGGAAGGAAAGCAGACCTGTGGGCCATTACTGCCTAAATCCTGCAGCAGAGTAAAAAAAGTCTTGTGCCAGTGGTGCCTCTTAGAGCTGCAGGCTCCCAGTCAGACGCTGCTGTGGCTGAACTCCCCAAGCCTGCAAAAATTGCTGTTCTTTCTCCATCACCCAACATAGGCCCTACCCAGGCCTATACCACCACAGACCTGCTAACCCAGCCCACCAGGTGCTGGCATGATGGGCAAGGCTGGGACCTTCCTTCTGCTGAGGCATGCAAGCTGGGGAGGGGTTTCCTCTGAGACCTGCCACTGTCTCCTAATGTGGAGGTCCATGAGTTAGCGTTGGTCTAGTTTCTCTTCACAGTCAATGGAGACAAAGAGCCATTTCTGGGTGGTTTCAGCTCATCTAAAACAGACGCCTAAAACAAGGGTGTATGAGACTTGTCCCAAAGATGCTCACTTTTCTCTGTTGACCACCACAAATGCCCTCATACCCATCACAACATCACACAGCAAATCCCTGCCACCTGTTGGGGACATCAGACCCGCTGCCCCTGATCCTTGCAGCTCTTGGGGGAGCTGTGCCCCATGGGTTTACGCACCGGTCAACAGGAGGGAGTGAAAATGATCACTGATTTCTTTAAACACCGATTAGGGTTTAGAAACCAAAGCACAATATTCAGGCTCTTCTACGTGACACTGAAGAGCAAGTGAACTTACTGATAGCTGGCACTCTGCGGCCATCCATTTCCCTAGACAAGAGGAGTGATTAGCCAGATGAAATGACCTTAGTATAATAGTTAAGGAAAGTGACACTTGGAATATCAGACATTTTAATTAGCTGAGAGCTAATATTTAATTACATTTTTGATTTGTAGGATTATTTTTTTTTAAACAGATAATTTGGCCACGCTCTTAAAATTATATCTTTTTAATAGTTATTTACTTAAGGTGCTGACTCAGTGAATCCAATGCAAAAATCCCCATGAGAAACAGCTGTAAAGATCCATTTAGTTCTGTGAGGCTTCTGAATGTGAGAGCAGAAAACAAATTAACATTTTGAATGTACTTGATGTACAATTAACATTTTAATAGGGAGAACAGGATGTTTAATGGTGAAATGAGGCGAACTGAAGTTTAGAGCTGCTATCAGAGCACAGAGACGATGCCTCAACAGCGGTGGCAAAGTTCAGCAAATGCATCAGTCCCTGCCTCAGGCTGCAAGTGAGTCCTTCACGTGCTGCTGATATGGCACCTTGCACCAACCCAGAACATGCAGAAGAGTAGAAAGTGGAGGAAGCAAATCAAACCCTTTTTCTTTGAATGTTTTCATGGGTTTCGGGGCCAGGCTTTAAATTGGTATTTAGGCACTCAAGGAGACAGGTAGGATCACACTGAGATTCCCACAGACACCTTCATCTCTTGCTTTTTGGACTGCAGTCCCACAGTTTAACTAGTGTAATCTAGTGACTACTTGTGTAAATGGCTCTTCGTGCCTGTGATGGCCCGGCCACAGAGTCTTCATCACAGAATGATGAAACGTATTCATGTCCCAGGTCCCTTTGGCTGGGAGGGGAATACCTGAGACACAGGCAATGGCGTCACAGGTGGGGACAGCAGCTCACCAGGTTGTGCCAGCCACCCTCCCAAATACAAGCTTCACATTTGGCTCTGCTGAGGATATGCTAGCCTTTAGACAACAGACTTACAAAAAGTGCAGGTAGCATCTCCCACTGTGTAGAGGGCTACCAGGGAAGTGCCACCCACCACCCACTCCCACTCTGGGCATCAACTTTGTGTCCTTTCACTGCTGTTCCTCCGGTGTTTGTGGGGCTCAGCACGGGCAGCTCAGCCTCTCCGGACTGCCTGCTCAGCACATCTGCACATCGGCACCGGGAAGTGGAGAAAAGGAGAGCCTGCATGCAATAATTCTGTAATTCTTGAAAGATTTGACGGGTGCAGGGAGCACCATCTGGTGGGCACGGCTGCACAGTGCAGCATTTCCTCGGTTTCTCCACGAATAGAGTTTTCTGTCCAGGTCTAATCAATGTATTTGATTTTGTATGATGTTTAGAAGTGCAGATGTAGTGTTATGCTCATCCAGTCTCAAAAACAAGCAATAAACACCTGTTTTTTTTATGAAGTTGGAAGTTTCTTTATTGAAGTAGGAGAAGGGATAATTGCCACTAAAGTAACTTTGAAGTTGGTCCTCCCGTTCCCTATTTTCATTAACCTCGGATTTTTTTACATTGTTTGCTTGACCGTGCACATCTGCCATGGAATCACACAGCTACACCGACGCACTGCAACAACTGGAATCAAACTGGAAGAACACAGAACTGCAGAAAAAAAACATAAGCTGGACTTGGCTAAAGTAACCTCAGTGACTACGTAGGCAATAAATTAGTTCCGTGGAAGGACCGAGACCTCCTAAAAGGATCATGATCTTTTCAGAATCCCACCTAACCTGCATCACTGCTGTCAGCAAAGGATCACTGCGAGCTTAGAAAAGGGTATTTTCCACACAAGTAAAGAAAGCTCTTATTTCTATGTATTTCGTATATCACTACACATTCTAGCATAATTTCACTTATATCTGACCATGCAAAGTTCAGCTCTCCCCCTGCTGGCAAGAGCTACTGAAGAGAGGTGTGATTGGGGCCGCACAGCACAAAGCAGCTTCAGCCGCTCAGGGCAAACTTTTAACCGAGGCTAATACCACCCACCATAGGATAAGACCCACCAAAGAGAGAGAGAGATGGCCTTCTACCTGCAAGCCGTTGTGGATGGAATACTGGGTTCGGTGGACCTCATCTTCTAAGGCAACATAGCAAATCTCACACAGGAAGCTGAAATAAATCTCCAGATACTTACAGTACTGACACCCATGGGAAAAATACCATGTCATGAGCCTCTTTAGAGGCCAGAGGGCAAATGCTGCTGAAAAGGGGAGCATCCAAATCTTGCAACTGTTGTAAAAAAGTGTAGCGTCTTGATGATTGTGGTGAACCTTCTCTAATTCTCTCATTTGAATGCCACTCCAAAAACTTCAGAGGGCACAACTTACAGAGGTTCACATGAGTAAAACGTGTATTATCATTATGTGGGTACATTTCTTCTATATCTACAAAAAAAAGGTGTGATACATTAAGCGATGGTTGTGCTGGGGCAGTGTTCTATTTTCATCTTTCTACTAACATATTTCATGATGTCCTACAACATTTGATTTCTAACACTGTTAAGTTTTCACTCACTGCTTAGTTTATTTTTTCCACATTTATAACCTTAAGTATTTTACTTCTAATTTTTACTGTTGCAGAGAATCCCTTTGGGCTGGAAATCCTGTCAGTACCACAGATGAGTTGTCCCAGAAACTTTCTCCCTCTGCACCACAATCTGCAGAACTCCTTTGTGTGAAAATATTTTCTCTCCTCCTGTGTGACAGACTGTGTACAACAGTGGTGAGACACTCCAACCACCTGTATCATAGAGGGGGACAAACTTCATCACAGAATCGTAGTATGACTTGAGTTGGAAGCAACCTTAATGATCATCTAATTATACCCCCCCTGCCATGGCGAGGAACATGTTTCACTAGAGCAGGCTGCCCAAAGCCTGGCCTTGAGCACCTCAAGGGATGGGGCACCCACAGCTTCTCTGGGCAGCCTGTGCCAGTGCCTCACCACCCTGACTTCATCAAAGTGAAGTAATAAGAGGACTGAGCTGCTTGTGCCAGCCAGCCTTCAGTGAGACATGAGGCAGGAGAGCTCCAGGGCCAAGAATGGTGCTACATCCCAGAAGATGATGGCCCCAGTAACCCCTGTTAGGGTTAGCCAGGCTGCCCAGCAGCCTTCACAGCAGCTCTACTGTCAGTCACATGAGAGATCCCCAGCATGGGAGCTGCATTTGAAATGTTTGGAAATAGAGTGTAACTCCCAAAATAATGTTTAGCCAGGTGTTGTTTAATATAAATTTCTAAGAAGATGAGACCTGTGTGACTGGGCTGACCATCAGCTTACCAGCCGATCTGTCTATCCAGTTGTTTCCCCTCCAAAAATGTTGCAGCTCTTGGTCAAACTTGCAGCTGTGCTGATGCCTCTAAAGACAGGCTCAAGTACACCAAGGTTACTGAAGTTTGGTGAAAATCAAAGGTTTTTAATACTGCTTGCACTAGGGAAAAGCTCAAGAGCTGTTGATAGTACTGGCCACCCTCCCCTCCTGCAGCTAGAAGAGGAGAAAAGAGCAGAAAGAAGAGATACTTTCAAAATACAAAATTGTAAAAATAGAGGTTTTATTTGTACAACATTTTTGAAAAATGTTCAGATATAAAGATATTTTTGCAGGAGCAAGTCCCAGAGTTCCATAGTACAACCCTGCTGTACATGGTCTTTAGTTCAACATTATTTGCAAAGACATCTGAAAGGTTTATTAACAATGAGAGATTGCTGCTCAAAGTACACTCCTCAAAAAATAAGGAAAAAAAATGTATTAACATAAGCAAGAGTGTTCATTTGTATTTTCAACACACAGCTCACCAGAGAACCTGTATTTGCTGACAGAATGCATTGTTAAGTGACTGCTCAGTGAGTATAACAGCAAAGCCAGCTATGTTTAAAACCTACAGGAAAGAATTTTAACAAATATTAAGCATACTGAATTTCCATCAGAGCTGGGCCATGCCTTCATATCCCAGATCTAAGCAAAAGGAGAGCCAAGCTGATACTACGTGGAAGGATAAGGGATTACAATTCGTGCAACAACCCTGTTTCACAGATCCCTACAACACAATAAAATAAAATAAAATAAAATAAAAATAAATAAAATAATGCAAAATCCAGCCAGGAGTATAAATCACCAACACAGCCTTGTGTGCAAAGACCCCCTAGGTACACACAGAGCCTTCCCTTCTCAGCCAGCGGTGTCCATTGGCCTCAGACACTGACAGTGCTGCTAAGCCAAGGAGAGAGGAGCATGGCTGGGTGTGACTTCCCTCATCTGGGTGCTGATACAACCTGAACTAAACCAGCCTACATGCAGTGAGGCCAGCACACGGATGGCTTCACCTTTCTGCTTAACCAGGGCCCTTGACAGGGTTCATCCAGGTGCCAAGCTCAGGAAAGGAAGTAACCTGGCTGCACCCTGAGGAGAGCAGCGTAACCAGTGTGCCATTGCTCTACTGATGCTCTTTGTGTGCTGATGTCCTGTTCTGGGCATTTCCTTACTCTAAGCCATGCCAACTAAACATAACATAACCTGAAAAGACAAGGGGCACAAACTATTCAGGGGCATGAGGCAGGGTCTCAGAAGATCACAGGATATTCAGTGCTTCAGCGTGAATGGTGAGCATTGGCATACAGACAAAATACACAGACACAGGGAGAACTGCTTTGAGATGAAATACATAAATACTACTGAAAATACGTACAGCAAAATACTGCCATTTATTATTTGTTCAATGTGTTCCAAGGAGAAAAATACTCCATAGAAGAAATAGTCTGTAACCTCATTGGGACTGCAGCTGAGAGCGGTGAAAGCAGACTAAGTTTCTCCCCATTTCTCTAGTACACAGGGTCTCAAGCCATGCCACAGGATCCCTTGGGCTGCTTTCAGTGGACTCCACATTGGGATTACAAGGAGCAAGGCAAAATGGCTCTATGTGACACACACTTGCTCAGCTGTTTTTGACAGACAAAACTAGATGAAGGTACCATCTTTTGGTAACATGTTCAGGCTATAAAATTACTGGTTTACCTATTGAACCACACCTGTATCTAACATGCCATATATTTGTCACACATGGGCATTTGTTTCTTCACAGCCCAGGAATTAAGGAACCAGCCTTGAATTTAGCAGCCTCTGGATCAGGTGTCTGTTCTCCCAGAGACTCCTATGGTGAGTCCGTATAGCCCAGATCTATCCCTCTTCCTTTCAGACTCAAAACTAAGCTGCGTATGCTGAATTGTCCTGGGCTGGCTCATTCTGCTAACTGGAGAGAAAGAGGCATCTTCATATGGTGATAAAAATCTCAGGTGAGGTGAATCACCTTTGGCTAAGTGCATAAAGCTCAACACAATGACTCTGGGCTTAGATGTGTAATCAAGTGACGTGCTATAGGTATTAGGATCAGTCAGTTTGCTGTGTCACCTAAATATACATAAGAGAGTACTGAGCAGTTCAGATTCTCTCTTTATAGCCAATGGTTAGGGATCTTTGCAATACTTACAGGGGATCATCTGAACAGAATTTTCTCTGTGCCTCAGTCCCCCACACATTCAACGAGGAAAATTCCCCATTCCACACCCAAGAGCAATGTCAAAAGGCTAATTCATCAGAGGTTGTTAGGAGATCGGGAATGGACGTTGAGAAGGAAAGGGCAGAGTTTTCTTAAGTTAACATAAACCATTAACAAAGACAAAAGGATTTTAAGACAAATATATTAATTCCCCCCACCCCACCCCATCCAAAATATGTAAGTCAAACTGGTGGCTTATATTACAAGTGCCTGTAGACAAAATTTCCTAGGAGTTCTTTAGGTTCAACTATGTATTTACCCGATCTTCTCTTCATCCAAATATAAGCTGATATTACCACAAAAATTAGCAGTAATGCAACTCCAAGTAAAACTCCAAGGACAATCACTGCCACTCTCCAGGTGGGACTTTTTTCAGTCGATGACTGAGAAGGCAGAGCTGAAAATGTAAAGCATATTACATGTAAGTTAGGTAGAAACAATAAAAAGTAGGCATAAGACAGCCTGGAGACCTGAGTGACAGCTGCATTTCATTTTTGGATAGCTTTGAAGTTATTGAATAATATAACAACGTGTTTGTATGTAGTAAAGATTTGCTAACTATGAAATTTCATGGATATCTCTCTCTCTGATGGTCCTTGAGCTCTCTTAGTGACATTCAGTATCAGCAGATCTGTGGATTTGTTTGGTAGAAAGTGTCTGGAAGGTTCTGGGAGAACTCCAGTCTATATCTCAGTAAAAAGTCTCTCTACAGTGTGAAAAAGGAGCGTGAAATGAAGCTGTACATAATGTAACCCTCACAGTACTCCTTAGACATGCACAAGCAACTTTGTAAAATTAATTGGGACCTAGTCTGCCATCCATACTAATACCTGCACTTCTTACTCCAGGATAAAGGCTCCAGATAAAGGCAATGAAAGGCCTGTAGCCCATGTAAGCGTATCTCATCGCTGTAGTAAAGATGCATGTAGTAACGGTGGAAAGGCACACAGATTAACAGTGCTAGACTAAAAGTGCTAGCCAGCCTGGTACAAAGAGAGTATATTAACTTAGGTAGAAATGTTGTATGACACCCCCCAGCTCATAGCAGCTCAAGGTAATAAGTGTTTTACCTTATTATCTTTGAGCATGACAAATACTGTATTTTGGATAAATATCCTTCTGCACACTTTCTACTTTCTCTCTCTGCCTCTCAGCAGCTCTGCAGTACTCTGAGTTGGTAAATACACACTGCCTCTGGTCAGGGAAGCAGGTGCCAATGGTTTTTGAGGGCTGTCCATCAGACAAGAAGAAATCCGTACCAGAGAGCAGTATTGCAGATGCCACTAGAGAAGAAATATGGATTCTCCTCATCCCCTTCTCCACCAAAAGCCCATCATTTAGGATCCATTTGGATAGTACAAAAATGACTACACACTATGACAAGAAGCTCTCTTAGCCCTCCTTCTATGTGATGAGAATCCATCCCTTAAGTCTGGAACTAGGTACATGCATTGGCTCATTAAGATAGCTCTATAAACTACATGGATAGCTGGAATATGTTTTCTGTGAATGTTTAAATACGTTATCTGAAATATGTGAATCTCTTAAAAGGAAGAAGTTAATTTATCAGTTTTTATGCAGGGTAGGAGATCTGACTCTAATCCCCACACCATCAAGGAAAAGATGTTTTAACATCACTTACATTGTACAGTTACTTCAACTTGGTCACCAAACTTTCTCTTTAATATTTGACTTAGGTATTTCTGCACAACGTTCACATCAACAGGCTCTTGCTTTTGCAGTAGGGAAATAAAATAAGCAATCACACTCCCAGGTCTGAATCCAACCATCACAATATCAAAGTGGTCATCTTTAAGTTTGATGCGCATTTCTCTAACAATCTGTGTAAATGGGAATTGATATTTGTTCCATTGTGTCAGTAAAATGAGCCAGAGCAAGAATTATTGCATACACACATCAGGATATTCACTTTCTGCATTTATCATTTCTTCAGGGCTATCTCTTTGGAATAACAAACAACTGAATAATGACAGTAATTTTTGTCTGTACCACTACAATATTTACAGAAGGAGGATTTGGGAACAATGGAGTCTGTGACTGAAAATACGAAATAAAATTTTGACAGATAATGGGAAGTTCTTTGTGCTTATAAGAAAATAATTTTAAATTGCTTCTCATCAAATATTTTATTTTTCAGTACTAGGTAAGTAATATAATCCTCATCAGACAACATGCTTTGGTCAAGATTGTCCTTGTTGAGCAAGTGATTCATTTGCTGTTTTATCAAGGTGGTATTATCTTTTCTCCTGTCACAACTTTGATTTAATAATTAATCTAAGTGACTGATGCTGCTAATTGAAAAAAAATTCTTAGCACATTTAAAGTGGCAAAGGAGATTACAGGAACTTACTTCTGTTTTGATACTTTCAGACATTGCTTTGTAGTCTTCACTGTCAGAGTCATAAAGTGTATGATTAAATGTCTGGCTTTTTAACAAAGCACTGCAGGCAAATACTTGGTAATCTGAAAAAAATATGTATATTAGGTGAATCTTGAGATATCACTTTATAATTGCTTTATGGACTTCACTATCTCATGTTATCAGCTTATAATACTAATCGATAGAAACAGAAACTAATCAAATAGAAGGAAAGAAGTATATCATGTAAATGTGTCTAATGTACTGGCTTCTGAACCTTCAGAGTTGAATCCTTTTCCTCTTCAAATTTGTCCGCCATCGCAATCCTTATGACTTCTTAGTCATTCCTGTTATAATTTAGGGCACATCCTACTCCCTAATTCAACAGCCACTGATCTCCCACTGATCTCAGCAGAAGCAAGAACAGTATATTAGATTCTGCAAAACACTTGGTATGTTTCTATCCTCATGAGTAGGTGGATAAGCCCTAAACCAAAAGAAGTATTCTTTACATAGAAAAGTCCAGTCTAAAAATAGACATGGAAGTTGACACTGAAGTTTGATGAAGGCAGCTTCCTTACCAAAGAAGTGTGAACTTCAGATGCTATGTGAATTGAGATAACAAAACAGATGATGAAATACTCATGAAAGATACTATATTGTGAAACAATATGCTATATTTATGAACAAATAAATTGTAAAACTCTGTAAAACTTACTTGAGCAAATGACATATTTTAAGTCAGGACAGTCACGATTCTGTGATAAGCAAAACCCAGTTCTGTTGAAACAGGAAACCGGATCTGTAAAAAAATAAATAAATAAATAAAAGAGAATTGCCTCTGTGCATGGGTGATTATAGCTAGTAAGAAAATGATGGGTTGAAAAACCCTCTCTTCACTCTACCTAGTGCATCACACGTCCGAAGTGAAATAGGTGAAAGAGATTTGATCATAACCAAGGAATCACTGAAGTAGCAGGCCCTTTGCCCTGTGAGAATTTAGAACTGCAGACTATAAAAATGGAGCATATCAGAAAAGAGGCAGGTGGTGGGTGGGTAGGTGGTAGTTGAGAACTTCACTGAGATAACACTGAGAACTCTAAGTTCTTATGGGAGATAAAGATACATGTTTTGCTATGTGCTTGTACTACTTGGGTAAGCTGTAGATAGAATTTTCAGAAGTAAAAGTCATTTACGATTTCATTTGAAAACAATATGCACCAAGGAGACTCGAAACCCCAGAATGCTTATCTAGATTGGCTAATAAGAATTACTTATAATGGTTCAAAATAGCAGTAAAGGCTGGTACTGTGGTTTTTATATGGTTAGCTCATACGGTACAACTCTAGTTCTCCTCACAGAACTGTGTAATGTAATCCGTAACTCCACATAAAATTCAGATGACTCGGTCTTTATTGGCAAGATGAATCTTTTCAATTGCCTCACAAACATATTTCTAGTAAGGCAGATGGCTTCAGACTACAAAAGGAAGCAGTTTTGTTGTTGTTGTTTAGAAAATAGGGGAGCTAATAAATGAAAGCCACTGGACTGAAGCATTGAAAAAAAATGGATGAAAATTATGTTGACAATTTCTTGGCTCTGTGTTCCTAAAGCTGATGATAGAAGGGAAGTCTATAAGATGGGACCTCACAGTTAACTGCTAGAATAATAGCCCTAGAAGGGTTTTGAAAATAATCAGACAACCTATGAGTATTTTTCAATTAAAGCACGTTCCTGTCTGCCTGCAACATTTTTTTTGCAGAGGTACCTATGACGTGATAACTATCAGTGTACAGACAGTGAAGACAGTCCTTCTGAATGCCCTGGAAGCTAAACTGTTGGATCCAGATAATACATACAGTCCCTAAGTGATTCATAAGAAAGGCAGTGTCATTTGGGAGGCTGTATGCATAATATGAAAAGTTTAGTCAAAAGCATTAGATGTAGGGAAAGGATGTAAGCAGTCAGGATTGCACACTTCCCAAAAGATGCTTTCCAGGTGTATCTCAAATTTCAAGGAAAAAAAATACAGCATATGTTCTACTTTTTTGTGATATAGTACAGCGACAAAACTAAACAGTTTGTTTTAACGTCTATATCCTAGGATGAAATTGAAAAGATAAAAATAGCAATTCAGGACTTCCTGCATTCATAAAAGAATGTGCAATCTAAGCTTTGCATTACCACAATGTTTACTGTTAAATTTGCCACCAAAATATCTTGACTTTTGTACAAAACTACCTGGTCCAATAATACAGCATGGACAGAAATTTTACAGAATAAGCACTTTGTCTTGCAAACTCCTGTTTGATCCAAGCAGTTCTATCCAAGTAAGGGGATGAATCAGATAAATAAAGACAACTTACAGGAACAGTAGTCTATGATATCAAATCCAAACCATACTATAAAAAGATATTCTGAGAGTATATTCATTAAAAAGAAATGACAGTATGATCAAGGAATTACCTGTTCGGACACTCACTGAAGTCCGGCTATTCTCAGCACAAGATAATACGTTTACAGATATTGTATATACATGACCAGGAAGCAAATGTTTAAATATAGTTGTTGTCTCGTTGGTGATTTTATTTATCTCTTGGATTCCATCCATGAGGGAGATGGTGTAGAGGATGCCTCTCTTGCCACCTGATGTGGTCCAGCTGAATTGTATTGCTTCCCCAGTCACATTCTCAACTTTTATGGATACTGGCACTGCAAAGTGAAAATGTTTCACGCAGCTGAGAGGGACTTAATTTCACTTATGTAATTCTAAACATTTAATATTTAATCAAAAAAAAAAGAACAAGTTTAACCAGTATAAATTTTTGTTGATTTTCTGTGGGCTAATTTCAGCTTTTCATCCCATTCTCCTGCAAGAGCAGAAAGAAACTGTTGGCTCTATAAAGATAAATTATACTTTAATGTACATTATTTGATGCCTCCAAAGCATAAATGGGTGGCATTCTGCTTGCTTCTGTCTTTTTCACCATAGCAAGGCAGCTGCTGTGATGAGTGTTCCGAGGTAGACTGCTATTTGACTCAAAGTGATTTTTTATATAACCAGGAGGATGGACTCACTAAAAAGCTACCATGAAACCTTAAGTTTGAAGAAGTAGACAGAAATATAACAACTGTGCTTCATAATAACATTACAAAAATCAGACAACACAGTGATAAACCACTAGAGGTAGTAGTAGGCGTTTTTGACCTTTTGGAACCTCACTGGGTCCAGAATGGTTTTACCAAGATGTAGAAACTTCGTCGGCTAATATTTGTGTAACTATATGTTTTCAGCGGTTATCTTAGGTTTCTCTTTCTGAAGTTATATCTGGAAAATTTACATCACAGCTGATATGACTGATGAAAAAGATTATCATATCTGATTTTAATAACTAATCTCAGAACATTTTTATACTGGCGTTCAATATTAAATATTTACTTACTGCAAGCTCCTGATGCAAATGCGGTAGAAAAAATAGAATTAGCTGTGGATCCTGTAAATCTACCTGGAGCACTTTTTGGAGGGACTGTAGTCATCTGTTCTGTAAAATAGCAATTTGGAGGCAATGACTAGAATTTCTTTTAGTTTCACCATGTTTATGTGATTTATTTTCATAAACAACTTTCAAAAAACAAGCCCAGAAAATATGCTTCCATTGTTTGTCTAAATAGTTAGCTATAGCACCTATTCTCATATAAAATTCCATCCATCAAAGGCCAGTATAAGGAAACATAATAAACTATTATCCGAGAGAGGGTCAGGAAGGGAAAAGACATTATATGCAAATTTTTAAGCTTTTTTTTAAATATTATTTTTCATATATGATAAAAATAGTTACGTGAAGGTGGATTCTTCTTTTGTTGACACACTCTCCCTGGAACTTGTGGACTGTTATCTGTGAATCCTTTGTTGCATTGACAGGAATAACTTGCTCCTTCAGCAGTGCAGGTAGCATATTGCGAACAGTCATTTAGTCCTGGCTGACAACTATTCCTTGCTACAGTACAGTTAGATAAAATAGAAGAGAAAGAAAAAATTTAAATCAGCTATGAAAAAGAGATAAATAGAACATTATTTGCAATTGCCTAATCCCACCTAAATCCCATTTCACTGGATGTTATCATTAATTAAAGATACACCACTATTTGAATTCGTAGTCTTGCATGCATTCATACCTTCTATAACAGTCCTTTTAAGGTCAGCTTTGAATACTGTACTCATGTTAAGGGACTTCGTAAAAGCATCTGAAATCTCTGTCACTGTTACGTTTTCTCCTACATTCAACACAACGTCGAAGAACACAACCACACTTCCATTCCTGATGCTATTAATTACAATACGCATTTTTCCTTCATTTATTAGTTTTAGCATCTCCTCTGGCAGATGTTGTTTTATCTGCAAGGTAAAAAGTTTAAGTTATTATCTTTTTTCTCCTTTAAAACTAAGAATTGTTACAGCAATATGCTGCCTATAATTCATTTAGAAGCACCTCTGATAGGGTGGGAGTACGTGTAACTGCCAGACAGAATTTCATTTAAATCAGGGCTTCAGAGGACAACAACAACATAAATGAGATGTAAGACCCCAATAAGTTCTGCTTTGTTTCTAACCATCATACCTTCTTTCACAACCATACTTAAGATTATTCATACCTGGACCCTTGTGATTGTTGACATGAGAAAGAGCCCAACAGAAAATAAATTTGGAGTTAAAATTCCTAAGGAAAATACCTCCGTAATGAAGCGAGTTTCAAACTTCTTAAATGCTTTACTTGATTTGTTCTCATATTCAGGCGAGAAAACTTCATTAGTAATCCTAGTGGCTCCATTTAAGACTTTTGCAGCTGTGAAGATATTAAAAACAGAATAACCAGCCAAAGTATAGGTACTGTTTAAAAATGTGTCCTCAGATAAACACCTCTAAGGAAAAGTGCAAACCTGAGGTGTATGTGGACAGGTTAATTCCCTACACACCAGCTGGCCAAAGCATAATAACTCTTAAACACTTTTTGCCATTCACTGACCACTGTATTCCTCACCTTTTATTCAATGCGTCTCTGAGAGAAGAGGACAAGAAGACATTATGAGAAAGGATGATACACCATACCCTTGGGCTGTGTGTCTCACAGCAAGGCAACTTTGAATAAAATGCAAGAGGCATCCCTTTGACCTGCACCCCACTGACTCTGCACCTTCCAAGATGCTGATTCATGTACCAGACAGTTAATCCTAGAATCACAAATCATGCTGTCCCATGGGAAGACAGAGCAAGGTAGAGACTCCAGGTATTTCAGCTGGGAACCTAACTGCACTGGCAGATCTTACTGAAAGCATTTGCCATAGAGCTGCTGCTCACAAGAAGAAGCTGAGAAGTGAGAAGTAGGAGCTGCAGGACTCCAGGATTTCCTAGGCTACATGCCTACAGGACAACTGTGTGTTTGAACCTGTTGTCTACCACGTAACCAGGAACTCAAAAGAGGACACAGCTTGCATGTGAAGATATAAGAGCAGGGCAGGCTTGTTGAGTAGGGAGCTATCAGCGACAGACTTGTTGAACAGTGTTTCTAGTTCAGCAATGTTTTGAATATGGCAGAAAGATAAAGGAAGCTTTGGATCTTAGCTCCATTTAAAATCTGAAGATTGTTTTTTAGTGTCTGAAAGTTTGGCCTTCCTCTTCCTATTCGTTTCAGTTTATAGCTTATTCATGTCCAGGAAGGTGCACAATGGAAAAGGGCTTCATTGTCAGGCCATGTGTATGTCAGTATACTGTCAGTCTAATGAAAAAAATGGAAAAGATCCTGATAAAATACCTGTCCGAACTGTCATCGAGGTATTGATACTCATAGAGCAAGTTAAAACATCCACAGATATTTTGTATTCGTGATCAGAAAGCAGGCTTCCAAATGCAATACTGGTTTCATTTATGTTCCTGTTCTCAATCTCTCTGGATCCCTCCCACAGACGCACGCGATAAGGAGTGTCTCTTGAGCCACCTTGAGGTTTCCAGCTGAACTGTATCGTTGTGCTTGTTACATTCTCCAGCCGTATGGAGAGAGAGACAGGAACTAAAAAGGAAAAAGGAAATCCCTGTAAGACATGTTCTTATAGTATGTGTGTGGCGAGGAATGTTGTATAAATCCAAAACTCGTAGTCTACAGGAAAACAAACAAACAAACACCTCTAAAATGCTTTTATAAAGGTATGAAAAAACAAGTTCTTCATCATATTCATCATACACATGCATATGCCATCATGAATACCATGACAACATTATGAAAAAAAGTTAGGGTAGGATTAACCCAATAGCTTTGTTTTCAAACAAGAAGATTATAATTTTACAAAAAAAAATTAAAACCAAATAATACCCAAAACAGAATATATATTTAATTTCTGAAGGAGAAAAGGTCAGTATTCTCCACTTTTCATTCCCTGATTACATTTCCATCCATTAGAATCAAAAATAGATTAATTATGGCATATTCTGTGAAGCAGAACAGTAAACGTTTGGAAAACAATAAATAAAAACTAGAATATTTGCATGGGGAAAAAATGCAAGAAAAAAGAGCTGTGAAAGGACAAAAATGTTTTTGACAAATTTCAGCAAGAATGGGATTACAGATAGAGTATAAAACAATAAAAAGAGAACTGAAGTAAAGTGAAAGGATACACTGAGTATTATATAACACAAAATATAAACATGAAATAAAACTAAGGAATATATTAAAAATTGAATAAATAAGAAAAAGAGAAAGCAGTATTAAAAAAGAAATACAATGAAGACTGGAAAATAAACAAGTTGGAATTATATATTACAATATATTTCACAATACAGGAAAAAAAATGAAAAAAAAATGAAAAAACATGAAATTTAAAAAAAAGAATTAAAATAAGCAAAAACATAACCAAATTCAAACATACTAGCAAAAGATGCAAAAATTCACAGTTAAAATAAGAAACACTTACCACAAGATCCAGACAAAGATGGATGAACGGATGCAGGTGGACTTAATTTAGCCATGTAGATAGTAGTGCGCATGCTTACTTCTCCACCACCAACTGTGACCATAGAAGCAGCTGACAAAGTTGTGGAAGGCAGGGAAAAGGAAGGCTGGAATGTGGCTACCAAGCTGGGATCTGTGCTACTGCTCCTGCTGCTGCTTGGCCCGCTGCTGGACAGCGCAGCTGAGGAGCCAGCAAGGGAAGGGGAGTCACTAATTGCTGTTGCTCTGGCTGTCACGGACACAGAGCTGGCACTGCCACTCATTGTGTCTACACTGGTCATACTGGAGTCGTGACTCACAGATGTGTAGGTGATGGTGGTGGCCTCACTACTGCCAGACACCCCAAGTGAAATCCCCATACTAGATGGCGTAGTGGGCACAGTCTGCGTCCTCACTTCTCCAGTTCCAATGGTATCCATAGAAGCAGCTGATAAAGTTGTCACATGGAGGGAAATGGAAGTCTCGTCACGTGCGTCAGATGTAGTTTCACTCACATGGGCCATGGTGGAACTTTCGCCTAAGCCAGTACCAGTGGTGGCAGGACTAGCAGCAGAAGCCAGAGGGGTAGAAAGTAACGGGCTAGCTGTGGAAGATGACGTGGACCCCACATCTGCTGTGGCCTCCTCCTCGTTGAGGGCGGTCGTGGTGAGCACTGTCAGAGCACCATGCTCAACGCTCGTATCTCCAGCAGTGGACCAGGGTACGGGGGACGTGAGGCCTGCGGAAGGCTGGGATGTGGCTACCAAGCTCGGCTCCGTGCTACTGCTCGTGCTGCTGCTTGGCCCGCTGCTGGACGGCGCAGCTGAGGAGCCAGCAAGGGAAGGGGAGTCACTAATTGCTGTTGCTCTGGCTGTCACGGACACAGAGCTGGCACTGCCACTCATTGTGTCTACACTGGTCATACTGGAGTCGTGACTCAAGGATGTGTAGGTGATGGTGGTGGCCTCACTACTGCCAGACACCCCAAGTGAAATCCCCATACTAGATGGCGTAGTGGGCACAGTCTGCGTCCTCACTTCTCCAGTTCCAATGGTATCCATGGAAGCAGCTGATAAAGTTGTCACAGGGAGGGAAATGGAAGTCTTGTCACGTGCGTCAGATGTAGTTCCACTCACATGGGCCATGGTGGAACTTTCACCTAAGCCAGTATCAGTGGTGGCAGGACTAGCAGCAGAGGCCAGAGACGTAGAAAGTAACGGGCTAGCTGTGGAAGATGACGTGGACCCCACACCTGCTGTGGCCTCCTCCTCGTTGAGGGCGGTCGTGGTGAGCACCGTCAGAGCACCATGCTCAACGCTCGTGGTGCCAGCAGTGGACCAGGGAGCAGAGGACGTGAGGCCTGCAGAAGGCTGGGATGTGGCTACCAAGCTCGGCTCTGTGCTACTGCTCCTGCTGCTGCTTGGCCCGCTGCTGGACGGCGCAGCTGAGGTGGCAGCAAGGGAAGGAGAGTCACTAATTGCTGTTGCTCTGGCTGTCACGGACACAGAGCTGGCACTGCCACTCATTGTGTCTACACTGGTCATACTGGAGTCGTGACTCAAGGATGTGTAGGCGACATTGGTGGCCTCACTACTGCCAGACACCCCAAGTGAAATCCCCATACTAGATGGCGTAGTGGGCACAGTCTGCGTCCTCACTTCTCCAGTTCCAATGGTATCCATGGAAGCAGCTGATAAAGTTGTCACAGGGAGGGAAATGGAAGACTCGTCACGTGCATCAGATGTAGTTCCACTCACATGGGCCATGGTGGAACTTTCGCCTAAGCCAGTACCAGTGGTGGTAGGGCTAGCAGCAGAGGCCAGAGGTGTAGAAGGCAACGGGCTAGCTGTGGAAGATGATGTGGACCCCACCCCTGCTGTGGCCTGCTCTTGGTTAAGGCTGGTTGCAGTGAGCACTGTCACAGTTCCCTGTCCAACGCTCGTATCTCCAGCAGTGGACCAGGGTACGGGGGACGTGAGGACTGCGGAAGGCTGGGATGTGGCTACCAAGCTCGGCTCCGTGCTACTGCTCCTGCTGCTGCTTGGCCCGCTGCTGGACGGCGCAGCTGAGGAGCCAGCAAGGGAAGGAGAGTCACTAATTGCTGTTGCTCTGGCTGTCACGGACACAGAGCTGGCACTGCCACTCATTGTGTCTACACTGGTCATACTGGAGTCGTGACTCAAGGATGTGTAGGCGACATTGGTGGCCTCACTACTGCCAGACACCCCAAGTGAAATCCCCATACTAGATGGCGTAGTGGGCACAGTCTGCGTCCTCACTTCTCCAGTTCCAATGGTATCCATGGAAGCAGCTGATAAAGTTGTCACAGGGACGGAAATGGAAGTCTTGTCACGTGCGTCAGATGTAGTACCACTCACATGGGCCATGGTGGAACTTTCACCTAAGCCAGTATCAGTGGTGGCAGGACTAGCAGCAGAGGCCAGAGGTGTAGAAGGCAACGGGCTAGCTGTGGAAGATGACGTGGACCCCACACCTGCTGTGGCCTCCTCCTCGTTGAGGGCGGTCGTGGTGAGCACCGTCAGAGCACCATGCTCAACGCTCGTATTTCCAGCAGTGGACCAGGGTACGGGGGACGTGAGGCCTGCGGAAGGCTGGGATGTGGCTACCAAGCTCGGCTCCGTGCTACTGCTCGTGCTGCTGCTTGGCCCGCTGCTGGACGGCGCAGCTGAGGTGGCAGCAAGGGAAGGAGAGTCACTAATTGCTGTTGCTCTGGCTGTCACGGACACAGAGCTGGCACTGCCACTCACTGTGCCCATGCTGGTCATACTGGAGTCGTGACTCAAGGATGTGTAGGCGACATTGGTGGCCTCACTACTGCCAGACACCCCAAGTGAAATCCCCATACTAGATGGCGTAGTGGGCACAGTCTGCGTCCTCACTTCTCCAGTTCCAATGGTATCCATGGAAGCAGCTGATAAAGTTGTCACAGGGAGGGAAATGGAAGTCTTGTCACGTGCGTCAGATGTAGTACCACTCACATGGGCCATGGTGGAACTTTCACCTAAGCCAGTATCAGTGGTGGCAGGACTAGCAGCAGAGGCCAGAGACGTAGAAAGTAACGGGCTAGCTGTGGAAGATGACGTGGACCCCACACCTGCTGTGGCCTCCTCCTCGTTGAGGGCGGTCGTGGTGAGCACCGTCAGAGCACCATGCTCAACGCTCGTATTTCCAGCAGTGGACCAGGGTACGGGGGACGTGAGGCCTGCGGAAGGCTGGGATGTGGCTACCAAGCTCGGCTCTGTGCTACTGCTCCTGCTGCTGCTTGGCCCGCTGCTGGACGGCGCAGCTGAGGAGCCAGCAAGGGAAGGGGAGTCACTAATTGCTGTTGCTCTGGCTGTCACGGACACAGAGCTGGCACTGCCACTCATTGTGTCTACACTGGTCATACTGGAGTCGTGACTCAAGGATGTGTAGGCGACATTGGTGGCCTCACTACTGCCAGACACCCCAAGTGAAATCCCCATACTAGATGGCGTAGTGGGCACAGTCTGCGTCCTCACTTCTCCAGTTCCAATGGTATCCATGGAAGCAGCTGATAAAGTTGTCACAGGGAGGGAAATGGAAGACTCGTCACGTGCGTCAGATGTAGTTCCACTCACATGGGCCATGGTGGAACTTTCGCCTAAGCCAGTACCAGTGGTGGTAGGGCTAGCAGCAGAGGCCAGAGGTGTAGAAGGCAACGGGCTGGCTGTGGAAGATGATGTGGACCCCACCCCTGCTGTGGCCTGCTCTTGGTAAAGGCTGGTTGCAGTGAGCACTGTCACAGTTCCCTGTCCAACGCTCGTATCTCCAGCAGTGGACCAGGGTACGGGGGACGTGAGGCCTGCGGAAGGCTGGGATGTGGCTACCAAGCTCGGCTCCGTGCTACTGCTCGTGCTGCTGCTTGGCCCGCTGCTGGACGGCGCAGCTGAGGAGCCAGCAAGGGAAGGGGAGTCACTAATTGCTGTTGCTCTGGCTGTCACGGACACAGAGCTGGCACTGCCACTCATTGTGTCTACACTGGTCATACTGGAGTCGTGACTCAAGGATGTGTAGGCGACATTGGTGGCCTCACTACTGCCAGACACCCCAAGTGAAATCCCCATACTAGATGGCGTAGTGGGCACAGTCTGCGTCCTCACTTCTCCAGTTCCAATGGTATCCATGGAAGCAGCTGATAAAGTTGTCACAGGGAGGGAAATGGAAGTCTTGTCACGTGCGTCAGATGTAGTACCACTCACATGGGCCATGGTGGAACTTTCACCTAAGCCAGTATCAGTGGTGGCAGGACTAGCAGCAGAGGCCAGAGGTGTAGAAGGCAACGGGCTAGCTGTGGAAGATGACGTGGACCCCACACCTGCTGTGGCCTCCTCCTCGTTGAGGGCGGTCGTGGTGAGCACCGTCAGAGCACCATGCTCAACGCTCGTGGTGCCAGCAGTGGACCAGGGAGCAGAGGACGTGAGGCCTGCGGAAGGCTGGGATGTGGCTACCAAGCTCGGCTCCGTGCTACTGCTCGTGCTGCTGCTTGGCCCGCTGCTGGACGGCGCAGCTGAGGTGGCAGCAAGGGAAGGAGAGTCACTAATTGCTGTTGCTCTGGCTGTCACGGACACAGAGCTGGCACTGCCACTCACTGTGCCCATGCTGGTCATACTGGAGTCGTGACTCAAGGATGTGTAGGCGACATTGGTGGCCTCACTACTGCCAGACACCCCAAGTGAAATCCCCATACTAGATGGCGTAGTGGGCACAGTCTGCGTCCTCACTTCTCCAGTTCCAATGGTATCCATGGAAGCAGCTGATAAAGTTGTCACAGGGAGGGAAATGGAAGTCTTGTCACGTGCGTCAGATGTAGTACCACTCACATGGGCCATGGTGGAACTTTCACCTAAGCCAGTATCAGTGGTGGCAGGACTAGCAGCAGAGGCCAGAGACGTAGAAAGTAACGGGCTAGCTGTGGAAGATGACGTGGACCCCACACCTGCTGTGGCCTCCTCCTCGTTGAGGGCGGTCGTGGTGAGCACCGTCAGAGCACCATGCTCAACGCTCGTATTTCCAGCAGTGGACCAGGGTACGGGGGACGTGAGGCCTGCGGAAGGCTGGGATGTGGCTACCAAGCTCGGCTCTGTGCTACTGCTCCTGCTGCTGCTTGGCCCGCTGCTGGACGGCGCAGCTGAGGAGCCAGCAAGGGAAGGGGAGTCACTAATTGCTGTTGCTCTGGCTGTCACGGACACAGAGCTGGCACTGCCACTCATTGTGTCTACACTGGTCATACTGGAGTCGTGACTCAAGGATGTGTAGGCGACATTGGTGGCCTCACTACTGCCAGACACCCCAAGTGAAATCCCCATACTAGATGGCGTAGTGGGCACAGTCTGCGTCCTCACTTCTCCAGTTCCAATGGTATCCATGGAAGCAGCTGATAAAGTTGTCACAGGGACGGAAATGGAAGTCTTGTCACGTGCGTCAGATGTAGTACCACTCACATGGGCCATGGTGGAACTTTCACCTAAGCCAGTATCAGTGGTGGCAGGACTAGCAGCAGAGGCCAGAGACGTAGAAAGTAACGGGCTAGCTGTGGAAGATGACGTGGACCCCACACCTGCTGTGGCCTCCTCCTCGTTGAGGGCGGTCGTGGTGAGCACCGTCAGAGCACCATGCTCAACGCTCGTAGTGCCAGCAGTGGACCTGGGAGCAGAGGACGTGAGGCCTGCGGAAGGCTGGGATGTGGCTACCAAGCTCGGCTCTGTGCTACTGCTCCTGCTGCTGCTTGGCCCGCTGCTGGACGGCGCAGCTGAGGTGGCAGCAAGGGAAGGAGAGTCACTAATTGCTGTTGCTCTGGCTGTCACGGACACAGAGCTGGCACTGCCACTCATTGTGTCTACACTGGTCATACTGGAGTCGTGACTCAAGGATGTGTAGGCGACATTGGTGGCCTCACTACTGCCAGACACCCCAAGTGAAATCCCCATACTAGATGGCGTAGTGGGCACAGTCTGCGTCCTCACTTCTCCAGTTCCAATGGTATCCATGGAAGCAGCTGATAAAGTTGTCACAGGGAGGGAAATGGAAGTCTTGTCACGTGCGTCAGATGTAGTACCACTCACATGGGCCATGGTGGAACTTTCACCTAAGCCAGTATCAGTGGTGGCAGGACTAGCAGCAGAGGCCAGAGACGTAGAAAGTAACGGGCTAGCTGTGGAAGATGACGTGGACCCCACACCTGCTGTGGCCTCCTCCTCGTTGAGGGCGGTCGTGGTGAGCACCGTCAGAGCACCATGCTCAACGCTCGTAGTGCCAGCAGTGGACCTGGGAGCAGAGGACGTGAGGCCTGCGGAAGGCTGGGATGTGGCTACCAAGCTCGGCTCTGTGCTACTGCTCCTGCTGCTGCTTGGCCCGCTGCTGGACGGCGCAGCTGAGGTGGCAGCAAGGGAAGGAGAGTCACTAATTGCTGTTGCTCTGGCTGTCACGGACACAGAGCTGGCACTGCCACTCATTGTGTCTACACTGGTCATACTGGAGTCGTGACTCAAGGATGTGTAGGCGACATTGGTGGCCTCACTACTGCCAGACACCCCAAGTGAAATCCCCATACTAGATGGCGTAGTGGGCACAGTCTGCGTCCTCACTTCTCCAGTTCCAATGGTATCCATGGAAGCAGCTGATAAAGTTGTCACAGGGAGGGAAATGGAAGACTCGTCACGTGCGTCAGATGTAGTTCCACTCACATGGGCCATGGTGGAACTTTCGCCTAAGCCAGTACCAGTGGTGGTAGGGCTAGCAGCAGAGGCCAGAGGTGTAGAAGGCAACGGGCTGGCTGTGGAAGATGATGTGGACCCCACCCCTGCTGTGGCCTGCTCTTGGTTAAGGCTGGTTGCAGTGAGCACTGTCACAGTTCCCTGTCCAACGCTCGTATCTCCAGCAGTGGACCAGGGTACGGGGGACGTGAGGACTGCGGAAGGCTGGGATGTGGCTACCAAGCTCGGCTCCGTGCTACTGCTCATGCTGCTGCTTGGCCCGCTGCTGGACGGCGCAGCTGAGGAGCCAGCAAGGGAAGGGGAGTCACTAATTGCTGTTGCTCTGGCTGTCACGGACACAGAGCTGGCACTGCCACTCATTGTGTCTACACTGGTCATACTGGAGTCGTGACTCACAGATGTGTAGGTGATGGTGGTGGCCTCACTACTGCCAGACACCCCAAGTGAAATCCCCATACTAGATGGCGTAGTGGGCACAGTCTGCGTCCTCACTTCTCCAGTTCCAATGGTATCCATGGAAGCAGCTGATAAAGTTGTCACAGGGAGGGAAATGGAAGTCTTGTCACGTGCGTCAGATGTAGTACCACTCACATGGGCCATGGTGGAACTTTCACCTAAGCCAGTATCAGTGGTGGCAGGACTAGCAGCAGAGGCCAGAGACGTAGAAAGTAACGGGCTAGCTGTGGAAGATGACGTGGACCCCACACCTGCTGTGGCCTCCTCCTCGTTGAGGGCGGTCGTGGTGAGCACCGTCAGAGCACCATGCTCAACGCTCGTGGTGCCAGCAGTGGACCAGGGAGCAGAGGACGTGAGGCCTGCGGAAGGCTGGGATGTGGCTACCAAGCTCGGCTCTGTGCTACTGCTCCTGCTGCTGCTTGGCCCGCTGCTGGACGGCGCAGCTGAGGTGGCAGCAAGGGAAGGAGAGTCACTAATTGCTGTTGCTCTGGCTGTCACGGACACAGAGCTGGCACTGCCACTCACTGTGCCCATGCTGGTCATACTGGAGTCGTGACTCAAGGATGTGTAGGCGACATTGGTGGCCTCACTACTGCCAGACACCCCAAGTGAAATCCCCATACTAGATGGCGTAGTGGGCACAGTCTGCGTCCTCACTTCTCCAGTTCCAATGGTATCCATGGAAGCAGCTGATAAAGTTGTCACAGGGAGGGAAATGGAAGTCTTGTCACGTGCGTCAGATGTAGTACCACTCACATGGGCCATGGTGGAACTTTCACCTAAGCCAGTATCAGTGGTGGCAGGACTAGCAGCAGAGGCCAGAGACGTAGAAAGTAACGGGCTAGCTGTGGAAGATGACGTGGACCCCACACCTGCTGTGGCCTCCTCCTCGTTGAGGGCGGTCGTGGTGAGCACCGTCAGAGCACCATGCTCAACGCTCGTGGTGCCAGCAGTGGACCAGGGAGCAGAGGACGTGAGGCCTGCGGAAGGCTGGGATGTGGCTACCAAGCTCGGCTCCGTGCTACTGCTCCTGCTGCTGCTTGGCCCGCTGCTGGACGGCGCAGCTGAGGAGCCAGCAAGGGAAGGGGAGTCACTAATTGCTGTTGCTCTGGCTGTCACGGACACAGAGCTGGCACTGCCACTCATTGTGTCTACACTGGTCATACTGGAGTCGTGACTCACAGATGTGTAGGTGATGGTGGTGGCCTCACTACTGCCAGACACCCCAAGTGAAATCCCCATACTAGATGGCGTAGTGGGCACAGTCTGCGTCCTCACTTCTCCAGTTGCCATGGTGCCCACAGAAACAGCCGACAAAGATGTCAAAGGGAGGGAAATGGAAGTCTCGTCACGTGCGTCAGATGTAGTTCCACTCACATGGGCCATGGTGGAACTTTCGCCTAAGCCAGTACCAGTGGTGGTAGGGCTAGCAGCAGAGGCCAGAGGTGTAGAAGGCAACGGGCTGGCTGTGGAAGATGATGTGGACCCCACACCTGCTGTGGTCTGCTCCTGGTTGAGGGCGGTCGTGGTGAGCACTGTCACAGTTCCCTGTCCAACGCTCGTATTTCCAGCAGTGGACCAGGGTACGGGGGACGTGAGAATCTTGGATGGCTGATACGTGGCTGCCAAGCTCGGCTCATCACTACTGCTGCTTCTGCTTGGCCCGCTGCTGGACGGCGCAGCTGAGGAGCCAGCAAGGGCAGGGGAGTCACTATCTGCTGTCGATCTGGCTGTCAGGGAGACAGAACTGTTATTGCCACTCGCTGTGCCCATGCTGGTTGTACTGGAGTTGCCACTCATGGACGTGTAGTCGACGCTGGTGGCCTCGCTCCTGCCAGACACCCCGAGCGAGCTCCCCATCCTAGATGTTGTAATCGTCGTCGTGTACGCCTTGACTTCTCGAGTTGCCGTCATGTCTATGGAAGCAGTTGACAAAGATGTGTGAGGGAGAGAATTTTAAATGATTTCTTGCCCATTGGACATAATGCCTTTCACCAGTTTCCTCCTTTCATTTTGGTATTGATGTACATATAATGCATGTTCCATGTTAAATGGCTGTTTTAGTTACTCTACAGTTTTGCTTTGCAGTCATGTTTTTATACTTAATTTTGACTTTCCTATACTGCAATAAACTTCATAATCTTTTATTTTATGTTTGGACTAACTTTCTCCATTTTCTTTTCTCTGATATTTTCATTTATTCTCTCTAATCATCCTTCTATTTTTATCATCCTTCTCTTTTTTTATATATATTTAAAGGTTTTTTATTTTATTGATTTCCAAACGTTTATTTTTATTCTACATCTTTTAATAGATTTTAACCAGCTTTCTGTGTGCGCTGTTTTTCTTTTTTTTTTTTTTTTGAGAATTTATTTTTTCTTGTAGAAAATCTAAATCTTTTTTTATTTTAGAGAAATAATTAGGAAAATATGTTTTTCAAATATGGCAATTTTTAGTATAATTCTGTCTTTTTTAGTCTTTTTTTTTTTTTTTTCCTTTGTAAGGCATTAATGTCTTCACTATACTGTTCATCTCAGGTATGGTAGAGCATTTATCCTGGATCTATTTTTTTATATTACCAAAATCATTAATTGTCTTTGGAGAAAATTCTTTTTTTGTTGTTGTTTTGTTTTGTTTACCTGTATCTCTGATTATTAATCAATAGTAACTACTGTTGTTTGCATGAAGACTGTAACATTTATTACCCTCCTCATATTTCTTTAAAGGGAAAATCAAATCTTTTTTCTGTTGTGATTATATACAGACTAGTTCAGACTTATTTCATTTACTTGCCCTATTTATTCTATCTTGATTTTGAGTGGTGTCTTTTATTTTTCCCCCTTCTAAAACATGGATACTGTTGTGTGTTTTGTTTTGTTTTTTCCTCAATGTAATATCACTCCTTAGCAACACCTAGTTAATATGCTATTTCTTTATTTTCAGCTGTGTGTATCATAAAGGATACATGCACCATGTGTACTAAAGTAGCTAAATCAAAGAACTATACTAGTTAACTTCTTTTGGCTAATATGCCTGTATAACCAAACTGGCATTTATTGTATCATTTAGTATATCCTTAACAGTGTGTAATTTAGACATATTTCACAGAATCACAGAATTTCTAGGTTGGAAGAGACCTCAAGATCATCGAGTCCAACCTCTAACCTAACACTAACAGTCCCCGCTAAACCATATCCCTAAGCTCTACATCTAAACGTCTTTTAAAGACTTCCAGGGATGGTGACTCCACCACCTCCCTGGGCAGCCTGTTCCAGTGTCTAACAACCCTTTCAGTAAAGAAGTTAAATTATTTTGCAAAATTCCTCCTACAGACCAATAAATTTTCTGCATCCCAATACAGCTTAAGTTGTACAACTCTCTGTATGTATCCCTTGGATTCTTAATAGCAACTACTGATAATCACTAAAGAAACTTACACTCATCTGTATTGAATGACATGGAGCTAGACAGAAATAGTAAAATAAGGGAGGACTCTTAGTTTCTAGGTATTTCAAACAGATCTTCCATTACAGTGAGTGAACAGCACGATTAATATAACCCTGTCCACATTTTCTTATCATAGATAAGAAAATTTCCACATTTCTTATCATATCATTTTCTTAGCAAAACAGTGTTCAATGGTCTCATAACTACGAAATTTAAGAACAAAAGGCATCAGAAAATCTGGTCAAATGCTGTGTTTCATCTTTTTAGATGAGTCTTCCACATACTTTGCTCTCACTATTGTATTTACTTGTAGCTTTATGTCCCCACTAAAATACCTACTGAAAATACCCCACTAAAATACCCACTAAAATGTCCCCACTAAAATACCTACTGAAATATACATATTCAATAGAAATTTAAAAATAAATTGTAACTGTAAATATTATGTGCATTTATTTTATGTTGATTTTTAACCACCACCCCACCACTCTCAAGATTATTGTTTCAAATCTATCTCCAGGACCTCAAAATATATCACGAGAGTAAATAGTAAGATTTTAACTTACACAGAAGAGAGAAAACGAAGTGCCAAAGGTAACTCCGAGTCCCCATGATAAGTTTTCTCCTCCTTACTGTACTCTTTCCATTTGTAAAACTGACATTTTGTATTGAAGGAGTCAGTAATTTAAACAGGGTGAGGCTGCATTGTTACGTCTCAGCCTCAGCTAATCCCTTACACAGGTGGGATCACAGCCAATGTAATGAAATTCTCACACCTGACTCGTACTATAATAAATTCTGAAGTTTCCTGTTGAAGTATGCTTGCTTTTCTTTAGCTGAACAAAGTCTGAACGTGATTCAAAGTCTAGTGAGTCAAAAGGAAAGACTTGCAGAATTCAGTGGGTAATGCATCACACCTGAACACTGTTTGATATTTGAACAGGAGGGTATTTTAGCAATCTTGGGGCTGGGTAATGCATGATTAAGATGCAGACCTTGTTGTTTTGAGTTCAAAAGCCTTGCTCTAATCAAAAGATACAACTTTTTCCCCAACCACATTTTGCAATATTTTGAATTATTTAAGAGTAGATGTTGAAGTATTCAGTTTTAACATGTATTTTTATTGGTTTAGAATGCCAAATTGCTACAAATGCACCAAATGTATCAACCTTTGTTTTTTCCAATACTATAAAGGGGTTGTAGCAGCCACAAATCTCTGCTAGTTCACCTCTTTGGACTAGGTGGAAAATAGTTGATAACCAGGTCTCTCATTCTTACCTGAGTTTGTCCATGTTTTCTTTAGCAAGTAAGCACCCCCTAACTATAGGCAGTTGATACTGACAGACACAGCTTGCCACCTGTCCAGGGTCACATCTTCACCCACCTTCCTTCTCTTCAGTGACCGATAATGACAGAAACCCCAGACATCTCTGTGCCTGGGAGCTCATCAATGACCTAAACACTTACATTATCTCATATTTTTAATAGTCTTTCCTGCCTCAGGTTTGCTTTCAGTCACAAAATACTTGGGCTGCTAAACAGATAGAGCACTTGGGGAGCTTCACAAGGGGAAATGGTTCCCTCTTACTCTGCAGCTCAGAGGGTCTTAATACCCACCTTCTGGGGGCTGCTGCCTGTGCTGGCACAGCAGGAGTACTTGAATTTCCTGCAATCCCTGTCTGGAGTGGAGATTCTTGTATTATATATATACTTGTATTAGTTAGTTTTTAATTGATAACCTCCTGTGCCTCCATTACAAAAAGTATTATCCTGTGTCTTTTTTCTCTCCTACATTTTCCTGGGTGGATTTCACTCTGTTTCATCATCTTGTTTCTTTAGAACTATATGGGTCCTGTTTTCCTAGTCACACAAACTAGGACACTGATTCTCCAGCTTTCTCAACATTTGTTAAGAGAGAGTGAGGAAATGAAAGATACAAATGAAAGTAGCAGAATCTGTTTCACTGTTATTGGGACATTCACTCTGGCTTTCCACTGAAAATACTCTATGTTAGGATCACAGACTTGATGAAAGACCATCACCTACCTGAGGATCTGTCAACTTTTCAAGACCGAGAACATCTATAACTACATTAATCCTAGATTTTGCTCTAGAAGATATGCTTTTTAAACTTAGTTTCATTTAGGTTTCCCTTTGACTGGCAGGTGAGATCAAGGCAAATAGTCCTTGAAATGAACCCAGAAAAATGTATTGTTGCTCTTTGGTGCAAGGCAGCAGGTTTCACTTTTGTGCTTTGTTTGATGTAGGAACTCCTGACGCAGTCAGATGTTTTCTTAGCAATCACTTGTTTACAGTTTCAACGGAAATGCTTAAAGAATGCATACGAGCTATTTTCTCTTGCAGAAATCATTGGAAATTCCATCTTCCTCTTGCCCAGGAGTCCAATGTCTTCAGGCTCTTCTCTCTTTTGAACTCCCACTAGCCTCACACCACTCTTCAGCTCATGCTCTGTTTGGACATTTATGGTAGTACCACTCCACATGCAAGGGTAGTTTTTGTACCTAACCTCCCGTGCCCTCTGCAGGTCCTACTTATCTGTGAACAAGCCCTCTGGTCCTTTTGAGGAAAGGGCAAGATTACCCTCATTACCTAGCCAAGGTCACCATCTGTGTAATGAAATGAGACATAGAAAACCGGCTGAAAGGTCTATCTATTAAAAACAGGTTTTTAATTATCTTAGAAGAAACACTGCTGTTTTTTAGTATACAACAACACTTGACTTGTTTAAAAGGGAAGTTCTTCATGAACCAAAAGAACAAACCAAGTTTAGATTCAGTAGTATAGGCCAATTTTTACTGCTATAAAGCAAACAGGATATTACCTTAACAAAATAAATAAATAAATAAATAGAATCTATTCTTTGTGAGCTAGTTAAAGTAGACAAGCTATTTGTTTCATCACAGCCTGTTGCCAGAACCAAGGCAAAAATAAGCTTCCCTGTTAGGCAGCCTGGATTCCACAGTTTTTATACCTGTGACAATTTATGCCCCAAGGGCAAACTTATCTCTAATTCACCTTGCCATACATTTTACCATAAAAGTTGTTTAAATAAAAGTTGTCTAAAATGCAAAACAAGTTTTACCACGTGCTTTAAAGATATGAGAGTTGCCAGTATCAAACTGCTGTCTGTTTTAAATTTTGTAATGCCTTTTGCTGTCTTTTTCAAATTTTGTAATGCCTTTTGATTCACCTTACTCACCTTTCAACTCAAGATTTGACTGACCCCCTACTTCTTACATATATCTTGCAAAGCTCATGAAGAAAGTCATGTTACACCTAGAGGTAGTAGGGGAGCATACAAAAGGAAACAACATGATTGAAACTCCATTGACTTCACTTGTTTAAGACCTTGGCATTCCTTTGAGATGCTCAGACTCTAGACATAATTTTGAAAAAAAAAAAAAAAAAGATTGTAATTTTCACCTGTTTAAGAGCATGTTGTTTAAAAACTATGCTTACCAAGGCCCTAGCTTCCCAATAAAATGGAAGTTAAAAGAAATATAGAGGGCAGATGCAATTGGAAATGCAGTTATCTTTTATTAAGTCTACTAATACAACAGGGGAAAAAATACTTGTGGACATCTAAGCCCCTCAGTCAACTTGAATCACTAGAAGACAAAATTGAGGAGAAATCTTCACAGATGAAAGAAAAATAACCCATTTTGATGTATTCATTCTTCTAATGCCAGCCATCACTGATCATTTCCAGATTCTCACCTGCCCACTTATTAGTCAAAGACGGAATTTCTTGGGGAACATTACAGTTCAGGGGCAGAATATAATACTGTTTTTAATTTATTTTATCATGTTGCAATACCAAACTAACATATACAAGAACCTCCTAAAACATACCGGTACCATCAGTGAGGATATGTTTCATGGTCTTGCTCCGTGGGTTTGGGAAGTGAAAGAAAAAGTGTTCTTCCAAGCACTAACTGTTCTTTCCACATTCATAAGAAGTGCCTTATCACTGAATTTTATCTTCAGTTTTTATCAAGCTTATTCAAACTTATCTTCAGTTACTTAGTGGGTGAGCCTCATTTCAAAGAGTTCAGCTCACCTTAACAATGTATATCTACATTATTCAGTGGAAAGCAATGTGCTTGTTCTAATATCAGCCTATTATATATTAACCCAAGACTGTCTCTTACCTTTTTATTTTGTATTTGTTTTCTCATTAATAACAAATGGAAGTGAGGTTCTTCCTTGTCCAGAAGAGCTTCTTGAAGAATTACCTTCTCATGTAGTAATTTCAGTGCTAGAGAATGTTCTCTTTTCAACAACTCTCCTACTTGCAACTGATTTATCATTTTCTAATTCATTGTGATGTTCCAATCACACAAATATGAAACATATTTTCTACTGCTCACAAAAGTCATTTCTGAGTCCTCAGGCCACCTTGCATGAAACCATGCTGCCAGCTCTGAAATGACCAGTCAATACTCATTGGAAATGAAACACAGTGGGTTTTATGCACAGCACATATGCATATTGAGTAGATGATAAGACAATTCTAAGCCGTGCTTTGTGAAGACAAAGATCCACTAAAAAGAAGCATATGGCACACATCCCAGCCATTTGGGGCTTGGTGTAATGTGGAGGAAGGGGAGAGGAAGGACACTCCCAGTTGGATAAAACTAGTTTCTGGCCATATAATATCATAAACAAGCAAGCAAGCAAGCAAATAAACAAAATGCCTAATTCAAAGAAACACTTCCCAAGAACCTTGAACTCATTTGAATTCCATCTCCCCATACCTAATTATCCAAAGCGAACACAATCAGGCTAAAAAAATCACAGTTATTATGACGGGTTAAAAAAAAAAAAAAAAAGGAAATAAACAAGGGCGAGAGATGCCTTTTATTTGCCTCCTAGATTTGGGAAACTCTGACGTTCACATTGAGATACTTTTTGCTGTTGTTGTATTCCTAAGAAATTGAGGACGGAAGAAATAGGAATGCTGAAGGCCTTTCTATCTATGGGAGCCTGAGGCTTTAAGAAACAAATGTCATCAAACAAGAAATGTTATTGAGACTGTATTTCGTATTGTGAGTTAAGGCACTTGGAGTAGCTGTAACTCACTGCATCTAGATCTTCAACATTAGCAGTGAAGTAATCTGGAGGGAGAACTTTCACAGCTGAATGGGGACTTTTTATATTGGCTGCACCCCTGTGTAGGGGGTCCTTTTCTCACCTTTTGCCACCCCAGATGAAAAGCTACAGCAAAGCCTGAAAGGAGTTACCCCCTTATAGCAATGGGAACAGACAGGCTGCTTTTACTGTTGCAAAATCACTGAGAACATGTTTTTAAAAAGTCACTCTTCATTACTGATTTCAAAAGCAAGTGGAATCTAAATATATATTTTAAATGTGAATCATTCACCAATAGGTTTTCAGTAAGATAAAATGGGTTTCCTAGAAACTATTCCTGTTAAAGTTGGCAAAACATAGTACCTTTTGTGGAGGGCTAATGAGGCATGGTGTTGAGTAGAGAGTCACAGAAGTAATCAGTGTACTTTAGCTAGCTCTGATGACTCAAAGCCCACATTTTCCTTCTCAGACTTGCATTGCATTATCCTAGAAGGAGCGGATGGAAGACAAATCAAATACAAAATACCAGAAAATAGCAAACAGCATGGATAAAGAATCGGAGTTTACAGTTAACTGAATCAATACCCAGCGTTCACAATGTAGGTTGGAAACACTGCAGCTTCCAGACAGACAT